ACGTATATTGAAACCGTTCAAATCTGTATTGTTTGATCTATCTTGAGGGATATGATAGTTTTTATTACGTTAAGAAAAAATAACCTAATATGTAAAAAACGTAAAAAAGAAAAAAAGTTGAATTTAAAATGCCTTATATTAATGTTATACGAATTTTGAAATATAATTCTTCTAAAATTAATAAAAATAACTACACGATTTCCATATTCCGCATTCCAACATCAACTTCGACTGGATGAGTATCTATTGTGTATGATGTCATTAGATGTAATTGTTATTGTGATAAAGACAAGATCAAATCGATATAAAACATTGCACGAATTTACCTCATTGTTATGATCAAAGTTAATTGCATGACAAAATTTATTTTTAGACACAAAACATCCGGGATATTTCGAGGCACAGAACTACTTAGTGCATCATCCTTAGCTTTTCAGGTATTGATAGTTACTATTGATAGTCACTGTTAAAGTTAGACGCCCCATAAATTCCCATAAGAAACAACAATGACCTTGTCGTTTCACCTCTAGTTGTTTCATGCTACTCATGCATCCTTTATGTCAACACAGTGTATATAGCAGGCCTTATTCTATTGTACAAAACTATCACACTAAAGATGGTTCCCACTGGTTGATAGTACTTTATGTGGTCCGTCTATAGTTACTTCGACCTGTCGATACTTTGTGAATGAAATCGAATTTTTGAGCCGTACGTAAAACTATGAATCTATTCTTTTTATCATCATCATTATCATCGGCCTTTAACTGTCTACTGCTGAACATATGCCTCTCCCTTGGGGTTTTTACAGTAGTTGCCACGCTTGGCAGGCGGATTTGCAACCGTAGTTAGGTTTTGTAGATGTTTTAAAAGGGACGCTGCTGCCTATTCCTTGCACTCCTTAGTCGCCTCTCACGACACCCACGGAAAAGAAAGGGGTTGTCTATTCCATGCCGAGACCACACGGCTATGAATCGCTATAGAATAGGTACATATTGTGAGAAAAATTTCATGAATCAAAAACTTGAGTGGGTAGCTTATTGTATGCCGGAACTACACCGCCAACTTTTTTAATACCCATAACATTTTAATTTCGATGCAGAGTGAAAGAACAGCGTTAAATGGGATTGTTATATAATAAGATACTGTATTTCAAAAATAACAGTATTAATTAATACAGGTTTTATAAATGTCAGCACCCACCAATTTTAGTTCCAAATTTAGAACTTCGGTCTATTATTTCGATACTACTTTATATTTTATGAGCTTATTAATTTCGCATATAAGTAATAGTCTTCTATATTTATAGAGATTTATTAATTCACATTATTGTTTATTTTCATTTGAAGCTGGTTTGGTCATTTGGAGAGGATGGATGAAAGAAGAATTACGAAAGAGGTTTATCGAGCAAGAATGAATGGAGATGTCGGTAGGGGCCGCCCTAGACGGACATATGTCGACCAAATAGGCGACGTGCTGAAGAAGGGCCAAATTAAAAGTACCCGTAACCGGCGAGCGTGTATGAAAAGATTGATGAATGTGGAGGAAGCGAAAGAGGTTCGTTTAAATCGAAGCATTTGGCGTTCCATTGTTTCTGCCTACCCTAATGGGAGACAGGCGTGACAGATATGTATGTATGTATGTTTATTTTCATTTAGAATTATTTTTCCTGTTTTTTTATTTACTACTAGCTATATATTTAGTGCATGTGGATTTTACACAATGCTAAATCGCATAATGCTACGACAAAACATGCAGTTAAACAGGCGAAAATAAAATAAATATTAACAATAAATAAACCGCACATATCCAATATATAATTTAAGGATTTTCTGGTCATCTCTTATGTGTAGATTAGTTACAATTATTATAAGTATATAGACAAATAATTTTCGCGACTTCGTCTCGATAATTATAAAAAAATTTCAGTCGTACATCAATGTAATTATTTGATACGAACAGCATCTTGGTAATTTTTTTTGTGAAAATACCTACTCTATTAACTACGTAGAGCTCACGTTCTACCTACGTGACTTCTTACAATGGAAGGGTCAAGCTGTAGTATCCGCTCGACCAATTCTGATGAAACACAAACAACAGTTATTACATACACCAGTTATATAGGTGAGCTAATAACAACTGGATTATAAAATTTACTAGTAATGTCATAACAAACAGATAGACATACTCTAGAAATAACTTCCATTAGGCTATTTCTGTTCGTTCTAAGTAATTTTTACAAAACAATTTCAGTGTAGAGATAATTTTAATAAACAAAAAACAATAACTTGAATTTTACCAATGTAATACAATATCTAATATACGATAATTACATACTGCACGAGCGTTAAAAATTATGGTTTTATATGATTCTAAATTGAGCTGGGCCAAACAAATAGTTGAGATTAGTCGTTCTATAATAGCCACACTTCAGTACATTAAATGTTTTAAGCACGTTTTCTCAATTAAAACTAAAATAACACTTGTTCAAACATTTATTCTCCCTATTATTGATTATGTTGATGTGTCTTATCCTGATTTTAACGAAGATCTTCTTAATAAATTAAATCGTCTAATTAATAGTTCTATTCGTTTTTTCTTCTGTTAACTTAAGTACGACCACTTCTACTATGATCTTCATACAGACCCCAGTTAAAATGGCTCCCTATATGTCAACGTAGACGTTTGAAGTTGCTTTGCAATATTTTCTCAATTCTCGCCAATCCCATGTCTCCAGAAAACTTGAACTTTAGGTTCTAGTATCTCTGTCATTCTCACACACGTGAACTTCGCTCTAACAAATCTATTGCTCTCTCTATTCCACTTTATCGTTCTGCTTTTCTTTACAATTCCTTAACTTTTGAGGCATCATGACTCTGGAATGCGCTACCCGTTGACATAAGTCAAGTGTCTAACAAATTAACTTTTAATAAAAACATTCTACGAATATCTTATGAAGAACCTGTGAAAGCAATACATCATCGTCTTCGTCATTATCACTATTGATCTTTGCTTTATTGGTATTACAGTATATAATCCTGTGTGTATGTATATTTATATGTTTTTATATGTAAATTTTATATGTATTTGTAAGTAATATTAGTTCAATATATTTATGTAAGTTTTTTTTTATACAACTTAGAATGGCAAACAAGCTGACGGCCCACCTGATGGAAAGTGATAACCGTCGCCTATAAACATGAGCAGTACCATGGACATAACAGAGTATACTGTTTCGCTCATGATACCCCCCATGTGTTGCCATTCCTGAGGACTCGGGTGTTATTCCTTTGTACCCTATAAATTCACGCCATATCCCACTCTTCAAACTGAAATACAGCCATGCAAATACAACTGCTTCACGGTTGAAATACGAATGGGACAGAGGTACCCAAGCAAACGACTTTTGTATAGTCTCCTTCTGGTATAGAGTATGTGTATATTTATATAATCTTAATATACAGCAGTTATCCTTTGTATGTGTTATATAATTTGTAATTTAATACAAATACGTCTGTTATTATTTATCTACAATAATTTTAAATTTTTCACCGCATAATTTTTTTTTAATGGGTGATAATGGAATGGTAACCCCACCCGCGCTATCGGTATACACCGGTGGGGTACCAGTGAAGGATGATAGGTGAGGATGAAGCAGGTCAGTTAGCCCATCGTGACGAATTCAAGAAGAATTGTGAAGAATTGTTTACGATAGTTTCCAGGGGGAACCACGTGGAGGTCGACCTATATTATCTTGCTAACAATGGGGCTATCAAACTCCATCGCTAACAATCCCTTTCCCCCCTCACCGCATAATTACATTTTTGTTTTGCCAAAAGATGACTAGGAGAGAATGCTATATAGCATTATTCTGCCTACCAATAGTTTTTTGTAATGTGGTCAATAAAAAATATTAATTCAATTAAACCTATAATTAGATATTATATTAAAGATTATGTAATTAAATAAACACAAGGATGATTATGAATGCACTGTCTACCCTGTTATTTTGAAAATATTCGTAAATATTTTGCATCGTTTTTATTTTTTTAATTGAATCTTATGATATAACTACTTCCATATAGTGAGTAACAAATGTACATTATGGTAACTTTATTCACGCACACATGAATAAAGTTTAGTAAGGACATTATATTACTAAAGATAATTGGTACATAAATAGTATATTTTTGTTCTGAGCAGTCAATTAACATTATTTATTTAACTCTTTATTGCACCAAAGATATAAAAATGTAATACATTATCACATACTTTAATGATAAAAATAAAATGATTGTGATCGTTAGTATAACAAAATTAACAATTAATAAATTGCTCAACTAAACATTAAAACCAATTGACATAAATAGAACAGTAAATGCTGTTTTAACTTATTAAAAAGAAGGTTAGTCAGTCAGTCATAATTAAACTAAACTCTACTAAGTCGGATGTAATAAATATGACCTTTAAAATTATATCTTTTTTACTGATAATGTCAATAATGACATCAGCTCATCCTCGTTCGAGATCGGCTCTTCTCGTTTCATTAAGTAGAAGCTAAGAACAAGGAATCCTTTAGGATTCTTTGCTCTTAGATTATTGTCATTATGCTCAAAGATTTATCTTTGAGCAGAAGTAATAATTTTCTTCAAGATGACGCATCGAGTGCAAAAACGGATTAAAATTCAAGTAGAAAAAAATATTGTTTACTTAATAAACGAAACAAAGAACAAAACGCGCCATTTTTTAGTGTTGCAAGTACCTAATTCGATCAAAAATTCCCAAAATGAGGTGGATTTTTTTTTTCATTTTGAATTGGGAACTATTATTTCTTAAGCACTATTATTTATATTACACGGAATTAAAATACATAGGTGTATACATGTATACGTGTCGTTATATAAAGAGTGACCAGTTTTGATTTAATTTGTATACTGATTTGAAACGATTTTACTCTATGGTAAACAGGTTATTTACTTTTATATGTAATACACTATGATATCGAATGCTTTTATGTGTGCACCTTTCCAACATGTTTACGCAAAGTAATATAAAAGAAAAAAATATTTATCCGTAGTGCAGATCACGATCATTATCTACTAATATAAAATTTTACCTTTAGAAAAAATAAATAACATTGCAGTTTACTTCAAGACATATATGTAGTTTATACTGCAGTGTCTATACGTGTTCGGAATCATTCATAATACTCGTATAACGCATCACACGAGATGTTAGTGTATTTTTCAACAAAACAAGTTTTATAATAAAGTTTAAACGCATTCGATGTTATTCGTTATGGTGATCAGTCGTATTTTGTGTTATCAAGCAATGAATAATTCGCAGTGTTAAATTTTTGTGTGTTTTAAACATGGAAAAAATAGGAGAAAAATCGAATAGTGGCGTTGAACTTCAAACAGTTAAAGACAGTGATGTGGGATTCAATGGTGTAAATAAACCAAAGGAAAAAGAAAAATTAAGTTTTGCTGACAGATTTAAAATTTTTAGGAATTATTTCACAGTGGAACCATATTTGATATGCTACATAATACCACTTTCGATAACATATCTAGCTGTTCAAAAGTTTAATACGGAGAAAGCGTGTCGTACAGATTTAGCATATAATCAAACTATTTGTGATTTAATACAATCAGGGGAAACAAATGATAATGTAACTGAACTAGCTTTAAGTCATACTACACAAATTGCAGCCGATATATTGACATGGAAAGAACCTCTGCAAAAGTTTATTCCTGCAATTTTAATGCTGAACATCGGTGCATGGAGTGACAGAACTGGGAATAGGAAATATTTGATGCTTATACCCATCTTTGGTGAAATGTTATCAACTGTTGGATTGCTGTTAGCGACACACTATTTCACTGAATGGCCCTTATGGGTAACAGGTGTAATAGATGTCATTACTTCATCATTTACTGGAGGATATTCTATTGCTCTTGCAGGATGTTTTAGCTACTTAGCAGATGTAACAACACCTGAATCACGTACATTTCGAATGGGTTGTATGGCTGTTATAGCTACTCTCGGTCTTCCTATAGGATCATCAATAGGTGGAATACTGACTGAAGAATTGGGATACTTTGGGGTATTTGGACTCGTACTAGCTATGTATGCTTTTGGGTTCCTTTACACATTCTTTCGTATACACGATGTGAAACCAGTACATCAAGAGGGAACGTTTGTGGAGAAAGTATTGAATTTTATACATCCAAGAAATTTGTGGGCTACTTTATCTTTGATTGTTTTGTCACGAGGAAAAGTACTTCTACGGATATTGCTTGTAATTTGGGCACATATTCTAATAATGGGCCCTGTTGTAGGTAATGTATTACTACTAATATTCAGAATTTTTGTATTAAACATTTTGTTTACCTATAACCACCATAAATATTGCATAATACACCACAAAATAAAAGCGAAATATCAGTAACTCGTCGCAATACGCTTTTCCCATCTTTTTGTCAGAACTTGTCTGAAACTATAAATCCTATAAATATAAAGTCCTAGTGTGAAGTAGGCATGAAAGTGGTTCTTGGAAATTCCCAACTGCACGAGAGGAAACGAGTTTTGCGTGGGTCAAGTAGTTTCCTTCTAAAATTACCTTGGATCATTAAGTTAAATAGATAGCTGAACAAATCGTCAAAAACGATCAACCGAATATTTTATACTCTTATTTAAACTAACATATATTTCGACATAATGAAAACTGCGTTTTAAAATTTATAAGTAAATATTGAATTATATTGGCATTATTAAGGGTGTAGATTTTGTTTTTTTTTTCCTTTAGTACAGCCAGATGACAGCCATATTTGAGTTATGTTATATCTTGAATTATATATTAGTTCAACAGGCATTACGTACAAGTATTGATGATCGAAATAAAAGTTTTATAAAATAGAAATATTGTTATCAAACACTACAAATTATTATAGGTATAGTAAATAGATACACAATAATTTGTAATTTTACAACATTCGGTTTTTTTTTTATTCAAATAGAACGTATTATATTTAATTATAATGTTTATTATACAGTAAAGTATACGAACTATACGACATAGCATTTTTAAAAACAGAATGAGTACAGTGGCAGTCTTATTCCATAAAAGTAATTTCTTCTAATTAACCCTTGATGTCTGATAGAAATTGTGAACTTGTGTTTGATTTTTTATTTTAACTTTGATTATAAATAAAATTCATTAAAGTAATATAAAGTTAAAACAGTAACAACGATAAAGTTTATTGATCTCATAATACGTTAATTAAAATGTAATGCGTGCGTATTTTTTCTATATTCTACAAAGGTTTAGTTGTACTTCATGATTCGATTGACCAATTCTAATAAATCAGAACTAGATACAAGAGTCTTAAAATTAGATAAATTAATCATAAAATCCCGTCTTGCATCTGGTGTTTTTACTAACAGAATAACATTAATAACTACATTTTGTCTCGCAAAAAAAAATCAATCATAAACACATGATGAGATATTTCATAGTCATATTGTCGCCTATAGACATGAGCAGTACCATAGACATAACAGAGTATACTGTTTCGCCTATGACACTCCCCAAGTGTCAAAATTCTGAGGACTTAGGTATTATTCCTCTGTATCCTGTAAATTCACTGCCATATCCCACCCTTCAAATTGAAACACAGCCATGCAAACACAACTGCTTCACTGTATAAACACGAATGGGACAGAGGTGTCCAAGCAAACGACTTTTGTACAAAGTCTTCCTCTGGTAATGTTTATAGATGTTTGTTTGACAGGTCTGCTGTGTGTTTTTATTCTTAAAATAATCTTTTTTAATTAATTATTATAATCATAACCATGGTGTATTTTCAGGTGAAGGAAATGTATTCTATTACTATACCTTGATTCGATATAAAATGGAAGTTGTAGAGTTCAGTCTTTTTACAACTTATACAGTACTTATTGGAACTGCCGGTAAGTTCTTCATTATTTATATATACATCTTTTTTTTTTAAATACTTACACTAATCTCAGTTTAGAATTATTGAATAAAAGAAAGAAATATTTATGTAGTGCTACGTGTTTACTGATCGTTAAAAAGGATTTTTTATTTAACTAAACATAAAAAATAATTAAATTAAAACTAAAATATACTTTAAGCTATTAAATATTTTATATACTTATAATGATATTAATTTAGAAATATTGAATATGAGTAATGGTTTTTTATCAATTCAATAATAAATAATTCATTAAATTGAAACTAAAATATACTTTAAGCTCTAAATACATAATTTATGGTTTACAGGACATGGAAATTAATGCGATTTAAAATTTTATTCCCGTCTCTTATAAACCGTAAAACATGCAGCGCTAATATCTAAAAATTAATGTAGACACATAAATTTCTATTAAATGTTTTTTAAGTTGTTCCATCAAATAATAAATGTAGCGTAGGTATGTTCAACAGAATTTAGCTGTCCATCAAAAAACAATTGATTCAGTTCTTACAAAATTAATATAGGATTACAAAGAGAATTAAAGAATAATATCAGTTCAAAATTAGCGAAGATATGACGTAGCGTAGATTGTCATGGTTCCTTCTTCCAAAATTTACGCGTACAAAACAGCAAGCAAAAGATAGTAAATAATAAAAACATTTCTAATTTACAGGTACCGCCATAGCAGTGTTGCTGTTTAGTAAAGCATTAAAATTTCATGATTCGATACTTGGCATAATTGCGACTGCTTCTAAAGTTATGGGATCTATCGTGTACGCTTTGGCACCAAACAAGACTTGGCTGTATGCTGCTCCGGTATTTGATATATTTGGCAACTCGGGCGTGACTGCTATTAGATCTTTGGGCACTAAAGTTGTTGATCAAGACAGTATTGGTAAGTGTTTCTTTTGTTTGTTTGAAACACTTTATTGTACAGTAAAGTCTTAAATTATAGGATACAGAGCTCTTAAGAACGGAATGAGTACAATGGCGGACTTATCCCATAAAAGGAATTTTGCCAGTCAACCTTTGAATGTCTGATAAAAAAGCTAATAAAAAAAATAGAAAAATAATAGGTGTTACAATTATAAACACGAACATAACATTGATACTAAATAGTCTTTCTTTTCAACCGCCTTCAGAAAAAAGTTTTAATTTGATTGGATTTTTTTTACCTCATTACTCCATCAGTTATAAACTGATACTGAATATTCTTTTTTTAAATATTTTAATCTTAATGCGATCATTTTATTACTTCTGTTTGATGACCCTAATAGTGTAGCGGCTGCATACTACTACGTTTTTCAAAACAAAATACAAAGATTTGTATTAATAAGCATATCCGTCTGTATTATTCTGAGCATTTTCTATATATAGTAATTATTAAAAAAATCTATTAGACTACTTTTGCCAGGTTGAAATAAAAACTTTAAATATAAAAGTTTGCGAAGTTGGATTTATGATGTCTGTTATTTTTTTACGCAAAAACTATTGTAAGGATTTTAATAAAATTTTGTACACGGATCGTAACTAAAACCGTAACGGTAACAACTAGTAATGTAATTAATATGATTTTATTTTGCGCGAACAAAGTCACCGTCAAAAACTAGTAAAAATAATAGTTTTCTCACATAATATTAACGCCCACATAATCAATAGATTATTCTGATACAAGGTCACAGTAACAATTCTCAATGATGTAACCAAATTACGTTGATTACAATAAATACCTACAAACACTGCGATCCAAGAATTTAATGTAAAAAATAAGTAACTATAATATTACATGTAAAAATCCGGTTTGTAGAAGAATTAATAATTATGTAATTATTACTAATGAGATTGCACGTTGCTTTAACCTAATGAAATCCCAGGTTCGAATCTTAAGTACAGATATTCATAGTCTGGTGTCCCTTGACCTGTATTATCCTAGTGTTTTCGTTCTAGCGAACGGATTTTCCGTGTAGCCATTTTATAATTTTATGTATTTCGTATACATACTTATATATATATATATATATATATATATATATGTATACGCTTATATTTTTATATATACGTCCTGTGTATGTGTGTGTATGTGCGTGTGCGTGTACGTGCGTGTGTGTGTGTGTACATATGTTTTATTTACAAGTTATAACTAATGTAACAAACGCATGTCCAAGCTAAATTGATTGATTATAATATAAAAGTAGCCTATATCTTCTACTATTTATATGCCAAATTTTACGACGAATGGATGAGCAATTAAGTCGTCAAGTCGTAACAGATAAACAAACTCACTTTCGTATACGTATACTTTAATATATGAATGTTACGGTGTGGATGCTGTATGAAAATTAGATTATGCATAAATTTGATTATAATTAAATTATGCGTAATATCCATAATACTTAAATAATAATCCCGTATTTATAATCCCGGAATTCATAAAAACATCTAACCTCTCATAAACATATTTTATCTGTTGAACTGTTTTATTTCTTTCTTTTGTGCTAAATTCGTAGTTTGAAATGAAAGTGACAAAACAGTGTAATAGTTTATATTTAATTTTTATATATAATAGTTTAGTAATAGGTTTGTAGGAAAATTAGTTTTTATGAATAAGAGTGCAAGTGACTAACACGTAAAATGAAGAGTATTCATATGTACTAATATATATTAATAGTCAATAAAGTTGATACGTAAATCTATAGTGACGGTAAATAACTGTGATAATCACACTAAACTCAAAAGGTCATTTGAATTGTATATATTTTTTATCAACACCGGTTATTATAAAAAGTATAATAACCGGACCCATCATGAAGAGGTCTCTAATGACCTCAGAGTTGTCGACATAACCAAACATCTTATTTTTTTATAAAAAAATGTAAATAACAAATTTTATAGCTTCATAACTATTTACATTTAAAAAGCACCTTTAAATGTCATATAATATTCTATTTATAAATAACCTATTTTTCATACTTCGTTTAGGTGACCAAGTTATGTTTATATGTTAATTGACCGAAATTTATTTATTGCGAAATATATTATATTATATTCTACAAAAAACGGACATCAAAACCGGTAAATTTGATTTAAAAACTAAATCAATAAACGGATTTTAATAAAATTTGTATGGGACCTACCTATAAATATATTCTCTTAGATAAAAAAGAAATCCAAATCTGTTTACAACTGACAAAGTGGGGAGATAACAAAGTTTAAAATAAACATACAACCGATTTGAGAACCTCCTTTTGAAATGCGTTAAAAATGCAGCCAATGATCTATTCCATTATAATTAATACGTGTATGTCAAATTTTATAATGATTAATTAGGCTGCATTGCGGCGGCAATCAATAATGTTTTTTCAATAATATCATACAATCGATACAGTGTTTGTTACCTCTTTACCGTTTTTAAATTATTTTAAATTAGAGGAATGCATTTTTTTTTTGTTAAAAATATCAATTGAGAAGCTAGTTGCTCAATCATTATTTTTATTATTAGTTAATAATTAAATTAAATAGGTTATTATATATTTCAAAAATTAAATAATAATTAATTGAAACATTTTTAAAGATTAAATTACGACGTATAATTTCTAAATAAAATAATAATATTTTTTTCAGGTAGAATGTGTTCTCTCATCGGATTCATAGATGCTATTATACCCATAGTTGCTATTCCAATCTACACTCAGCTATGGTCTAACACATTAAATACGTTTCCTGGAGCTATATACCTATTGGGCGCCATTTTGACTGTTCCTGACTTCGTTATATTTGCGTAAGTGATGAAACTTGATTTGAAAAACAATTATTTCGAAGGGGCGACAGAGACACTTCTAAAATAATTAAAAGATAGTATGATTATTAATTTAGACAGCCCCTTATGCATGTGGCAAACGAATCTATCCATCGAAAGGTTTTCATCAGCGTAAATACGTGAAAGCACAAAATACCGGACGTTGCTGTCTCTTTCTATCTAATGCATGCACAGGGTAACGTTATCGTTAGATTCGTTTGCCATTTTTTTATATATACAGAATATATGCTAATAACTCCTTAACATTTCATTAGTCTTTAATTTCCATGATTTTACCCATTGTTGGTAATGAGTCTCTCTCCCTAAACTTGGTACAAATGTCGTCTATATGGATATATGTAGGTACCCATAAAATCATAGAAAAAAAAAACTTTTACAAGACAGGACAGACGATGTGGTATAGAATTTTTTGAGTTTTTTTTTCTTTATTCCTAGTATATTGTGGTATGTTCCATTAATAACATTACAAGGATAAAACCGTAATATTCAATTATAAAGATTTTAAATTATACCGTGTTATAATTTAAAATCATCATCATCTTATCAGCCTTTAACTGTCTACTGCTGAACATAAGCCCCTTGTGGATTTTTGCCAGTAGTTGCCACAATTGACAGGCAGTTTGGCAACCATAGTTAGACTTCAGAGATGTTTTAAGAGGGGCGCTGCTACCCATCCCTCGCCCTCCCTTAGTCGCCTCTTACGAAACCCACGGGAAAGAAAGAGTCAATATTTAAATATATAATATATAAATAATTTAAAAGATTTTTTACCAATTCCAGGATCCTGTTCATCATATATAAAAAAGAAGAAAAGGATGTCGTTGTAAATGTGGAAATAAAAGAAAAGCATGCTTATGAAAATGATATTACTGCTTTATAGCCTAGTGCCGTATTAAATGACATTTGCCAAAATATTTAACTGCGCAGATATAACATGTGGAGGACTCGCACGGAAAATCAGCTAACGATAGAGAGTCGACATTCTAGAACATAATTGAAATAATATAATATATAATTATAGATTTTAAACTGATTTCAAAAAGAAGGAGGATTCTTAGTTCTGTTGCATTTTTTATGTTTATTTCCTTATAATTCTAACTGGTTTTGCCGGGGAGGGGGAAGGGATTGTTAGTAATGGGGAAGTTAGTGACCATTGCTATCAATAGACCTCCACGCGGTTCCCCCTGGAAACCATCTTGACTAATTTATCGTTGAATTCGTCACGGTGAGCTAACTGACCTGCCTTTTCATCTTCACCAATCATCCTTCATTGGTGCCCCGCCAGTGCATACCGATAGCGCAAGTGGGGTCACCATTCCATTATTAAGCATTAAAAAAAGATGGTTTTGCCATAATTAAAGTCGGTTCTTATTTGTAGAACACAATGTTTCAATACTCAGCATAATATAGTAACAAAACTAACATAGGATTAAATCAATCAACCCTATTGATAACAGAAAAAATGTCAGAAATTGTTTAGAATTGTCTTAGATATTATATCATATACTTGTAAAACTTATATCATGTAATACTTGGATACTTCATATACTTGGGAACTCCTGTCCCATTCGTGTTTCTAATGTAAAGGAGTTGTGTTTGCATGGTTGTGTTTTGGTTTCAATAATAGGATATGGCAATGAAATTACAAAGCACTGAGGCATAATGCCTTAGTCCTCAGGAATGGTAATGCATGAAGGGTATCATGGGCAGTAGTCTCTGCTATATTTGTCATAGTACTGTCATATACAATTATATACATAATAATATATAAATATAGTGTTGTTGAAAACTTTTTATTAGAAGTTGGTTAAGAATTAAAATCGCAGTGCGTGCCCCGGCATAGAATGAACCACCCCTTCCTTTCCCGTGGGTGTCGTAAGAGGCGACTAAGGGAGGGAGAGGGATGGGCATCAGTGTCCCTCTTAAAACATCTCTAAAAACCTAACTGTAGTTGTCAACCGGCCTGCCAAGCGTGGCAACTACTGGCATAACTTCCCTTATAAGGTAGGCTTATGTCCAGCAGTGGACAATTAACAGCTGAAATAATAATAATTTTATAGGTATATATTATTATCTGTATAGCAGCAGTAGGCTTGCCCTCTGCTATATTGGATTCTAAATGAATGGTATTTTTTACACAACAAGATAACCACAATTGTCAATAATGTTTCTGATTAACTAAGTACAGATTATAATCGTGATGATTTTAATTAATAATATTAAGTCGGAATATATTACAATTCTCAATAAGTGTTTAATATCATGAAAGGATCTTCTTTTACCAATTTTACCTATTTAGGATTAGACGCTTGACTATTTACTACATAATATAAAATTAATAAAGAAATATTAAAATATGATAATATTTTAATAAATAGAGTGTAAAAAATGTAAAAAGTAAAAAAAGTGTAAAAGTTTTCGAGTCGAAAATCTGGCTTGCTTTGAAAGTTTTTCAATTATTCAATAATTGTTTCAATATGATTTTCATATTTTAATAACATTCTGAATCTTCGCTCTTTTGCTACCTTCACTCAGTCTGTCAAGCTGACGTGAACAAGACCCACGTAAATCGATGCTGTGTTCAACTATATAATCAAATTCAAATTCAAATTCAAATTCAAAAATCATTTATTCATGTAGGACATTTTAGCCGCTTATGAACGTCAAATTTTTACATTATAATTTTATATTTTCCCTACCGTCCAAATCGAAAAATAAATGAAAATTGAAGTTTCATTTCTTTTCTTTTTTGTTCCAAATCCATAAAATTGGAAAAATTTTAATACAAAATAACACAATTTTATATAAAACACAGTTTATGAGTGTTTATTAATTTCATTAAAGACCTGCGTAAATGAGAGACGTTTTGTCCACAGAGGATAAAGTTTTCCTTTGTACACCGCGAATTATCTTTCTTTGAGGGGAACAATAAGAGTTTTAATCGTTCATTTAACAAGCACGAACATGTGTGTGTTGTAACATACAATTCAATGTATTCTTTTATAACGTTATACAATATTTATGAGGATCATCCGCTGTCTCCACAGTCCATTTATAATCTATGTTAATGGAACTACCATTATATTTTGTCTTGTAGTTGATGTATTTTCGATTTATTTTGTACCAAAAAACGAAGTAAAATAATAATAATAGACTAAAATTAGAATACATTTTTAATTAGCTTTTCATATAATCTATCCCTCTTTAAACATCACCAAAACCTAACTGTGGTGCCAATACGCCTGCCAAGTGTGGCACTATTGAAAAAACCCCCCTTTATACGGAAGACTTATGTTCAGTAGTGGACAGTTAACAGTTGATATAATAATAATAGTTAAAAAATTCATATAATCATTGACTTGAGCTCAGTGAATGATTATATTAATTTAGATTACCATATATGTATGAATAGAGCCAATACAGAAATATATTCCTTACACTAAAATAGTGCAATTGAGTAAAACAATTGCAGATACGTATAAATGAAGATGCATGCTTACTAACAACTATAAGTTATAGGGATCGAATGTACGTATAAGTTATGTTAGTATCCACTCAGCACCTCATAACCTCTGCATATAAACTCATAGAATAATGAATATCCGAAAATGCGACATGTCGTCTTCATTCATTCAATCTCCAATTGTACTATTACATTATATTACCTATTACTCCTCCTTACGTGTACAAGGTGTGGTCCCAGCGAAGAATGGGCCACCCCTTCCTTTCCTGTAGGTTTCGTAAGAGGCGACTAAGATAACGTAATGACCGAGGGATGGACAGTAGCGTCCCTCTTAAAACATCACCAAAGCCTACATGCGGTTCCCAACCCGCCTGCTAAGTATGACAACTGCTGGCAAAACCCACCATAGAGGGTTGTTCTATATTCACCAGTTAACAGTTAACCGCTTGTATGATATATATACATACTACATAAAATAAAATGTGTCCTTTTGTTTCATTAAATTGCATCTAATTTTTCTGTAGCGTCTGACAGAATTTTGTAGGCAAAATCGACGGAAAATGAAAATGTTCGTTATTTTACTACTGTGTGGTGGTAATAAAATAACAAACCCTCTTATTTATAAAGACGTCAAATCTGTTATAAACCTATTCTAGCTATTAGTTTTGTTCTTTTCTCTTACTCCAGTTTCTTATTTTAAAAGACAGTGACAAAACTGTAATAGTTAAAGTAGAGTTGCAAAACGTTTTAGTTTTTATATAGTGGTAAGTGAGCAAGTTTTTTAACATACCTAATTAAATTATATTGCTAACAAAATAACTCTCTAATTAATAAAACTAATATTCTTATAAATTTACAAGGAACTTACAGTTAAAAAAGATATTTTAACTGTAATTTCCTTCGAATTATTAGTTTAAATGAAAAAGTAAAATACTACAATAGTTAAAATAAGTTTATGAGATGTTTGACGTTTTTATGCATTCGGGGTAAAAGTATATGTGCACAACACAAACAAAAGTATTAAATATACCAAAACAACACAAAGCATTTCCAGCAATCTACTTGATGGCATTCATGCGAGACTTCGTTTTATGGCGAAATTAAGGAATATAGCATGGGTATGGGGAAGAATGATAATGATATGTCGCATCAGATAATGCCGCCAATATTAAGAGGAAGCTCCATATTAAATTAGAATCATTTTGATTGATACAAGCACAAACTGAATATAGTGGTTCAAGATGCTTTAAGCACATATAAGAAGATTATGTATAATTATTGATTTATGTATGTTTAATTTTTGTAATTGTATTATTCTATATGTTTGTATGTTCATTTATCTTAAAATATATTAATGTTGTTGTCTTGCAAAATATTTATTTAATTTACAAACCGTTTTGTTAAATTAATGCACCGTCATTTACTCTCTCTGTTTAGCGTAACAGTTGACTGGTAGAGAATGCCATCAAGCGTTAAGTGTACCCTGTAGAATTATTTTAATATGTGCGAAAGTATAAGAAAATAAATATAAGGATAGAATGGAGATGAAAATAGTAATGCCATATTTTCAAAACAAATATAATAAAATAACAAACAAGTCAACAAAACACTCGAGAGTTCTACTTCTCTTCTCGTAAACGCCATTTTGACTAAGTGAAATTCAACATATCTAATATTAGAGCGATTCCATTTCCTTAAGGAAGCCGTCCAAACAACGGTTTCCATGTTGTCCCTCTGCCAATAATGCCAGACGAAAAATTGGATTATATTGAATAATTATGCGTTTTTTTTATCTTTTTATGAAGATAGCAATATGATGAGCAGAGAAAATCACCTTACCACCTATACTACTGATAAGCATTGCTATCGTTCTAACTTTTAAGTCACTTTGTAAGACATGTCGAATATCACAGATCTGATATGAAAATGTTAGCAGTTGAAATATGACAATAAAGATAAGAAAAAATTTTTTGGTAAAAACCGACTAAACAATTAGTAGTTATTATGTTAGATGTGCAGCAATTTTATACTCTATTAGAAATACCTAACAAAATCATAATTATTCCCTTTTTTGTCGTCTGTTATTGAAGAATAGTACTAATTAAATAATTATCTATGTTAAAGATGAGAATATTTTATATAGAAGGTTCCAGACTTTTAATCACATGCCCACAATATGTTTGATAATTCTGTCAAATATGATGATTATATCATCATCTACAATGATTATTAATTTTCTTAGAGTTTGTCTCGAGAAAATGTTGGATTCGTCACATCAATAAAAATATACAATTTACGTTTAATGTTCTTATTTATTTGCTTAAAATACACGCGATGTAATTAAATTTGATTAAAAATAAAAGTAGTGGCAATAAAATTGACAGTTTATGAAGGTACGTATTTACAGATAATAAAATTTCTTAACATTTTGTTATAAGGTACAAGAACTAAGGACTTTAACTGAGGAAAATATGAGGTGGTTGACTTAATATTCATAAATTAAGTAGTATTAGCTTAAATTATGATCTATAAATATTGTATTGTATTTGATAAAGAGGGTTCATACAGAAACTTTACAGAAGCGTAGCAAAGTC